GCCGTTTTTCCAGCAGCTTTTAAGCATTGAAATGTGAGTGGATTTAGTGAGCAGTGGCTGTTTTTCCAACAGCTTTAGCGCCAAAACATGGGTGTTTTTCTAGCAGCTTTCAAGCTCCAAAATGTGTGTGTTTTTTAGCAACTCATAGCTTATATTCCAGTGGCTTTTTTGTGCCAAAATGCGGGTGTTTTTTAGCAACCTACAGCTGTTTTTCCAGAGGGTTTTTAGCCCTGAAACATGGGTGGTTTTAGTGAGCGGTGGCTGTTGTTCTAGCAGCTTTTTACAGCAGTGAAACCTGGGTGTTTTTTAGCGACCCTTGGCTGTTTTGTCTGCAGCTTTTTAGCACCCGAATGTGGGTGTTTTTTTAGCAACCTACAGCTGTTTTTCCAGAGGATTTTTAGTGCAGAAACCTGGGTGTTTTTAGTGCCCCATGGCTGTTTTTCCAGCGGCTTTTAAGCATTGAAATGTGGGTGGATTTAGTGAGCAGTGGCTGTTTTTCCAATGTCTTTTTAGCTCCAAAACATGGGTGTTTTTCTAGCAGCTTTCAAGCTCCAAAATGTGGGTTAGGGTTATATATATATATTCTGGGTGTTTTGAGTAATGCATGGCTTATATTACAGCAGCTTTTATGCTCACAAACATGGGTGTTCTTTTAGCAACACATGGCTGTTTTCCAGCGGCATACATCTGTTTTCCCACCGGGCTTAATGCCATGAAAAGCTGTTGACACCACTGTATTTCCTGCCATGACAGAGCCTCAAAAAGCTGCTGGGTTTTTTTGTTTTGTTTTTACAATAAATGGCTCTGTTTCCTGCCAAAACTGTGACACCAAAACTGGGGAATTTAAAAACAAAACCTGATCTTTTCCTGGTCATATCCAGGTGCTTCCTGTGCCTAAATCTAACCACATGTTAATCTGAGTGTTGTTGATGGGTTAAGTTTCAACATATATGCAACATGATAACATACAAATATGAAATATCCAAGGTCTGCAGCACAATGCAATGCTTTTTTTCTGGTGATTGTGTTGTGAGAAGCAAACTCTCACTAAGTCTCAGGGCAGATATCCTAAATACTGAAGCAGTGCAACGATACCGACCCTCTGCCCTGGAAGCAGCAACCTTTCTGTGTTACAGCTGAGAAAAACACTGAAGACGGCTGAAAGCAGAATCAAACAGAGCTGGTTACCTCCTTGTTCATCCAGCATGACCACAGCTCTGATCCCAGCGTCTTTACTCTGCAGAGAGGAGCACAGAAAACACATCTGCTGACCTGAGATCTCACTTGGTCCAGGAAGCCACTGGGCTCAGTGCAGTTCTGTGAAACTCATCCTGCAGACACATTTATGTTCATAGAAAGAAAGTGACACCAGCTGGATGACAGACAAGATGAACAGCAGCAGGTAGATTTTAGTTTGGGGCTTTAACTACCGTACACGTTTGTCTGACTGTCTCACTGGCACATGTCGTCTCTGCTCTCACACACTTTTGTTTTCAATATGTCAAAACCCAAAATTGCTTTCCAGCAGCTTCCAGTTAATCACATCCAGCATCCGTCTTGTTTACAGTCATCTCTGGGTGGAAACACAGACGGCTAATGTAAAGATGATGATGCTAACATAATAACGAGGCTGACTGTCTGTCTCTAACACTTTTAATCGCTGCAGGCCTCAGCAGTTCTCCAGTTATATTCATTCATTCATCCATTCATTATCAGTGACTGCCCATCCTGGTCCTGGGTCGTGAGCCGATCCCTGCTGACAGTGGGCGAGAGGCGGTGTGCACCCTGGACCGGTCACCAGACTATCACATGCTACTCTGGCTGCATAAATATAAATATATCAGTGTGTGTGTGTGTGTGTGTGTGTGTGTGTGTGTGTGTGTGTGTACCTCCTCAACTAGCTGCATCATGCGCCTCGTGCTCTCCAGGGACTGAAAGACACAAAAAACAGACGCCTCAACATACAGGATATTCAGTGCACAGTCAGCTGGACATGTGAACACAGGTATGTTGTCCACAGGTAAGAACACATCTCAGTACAGAGACTCGAATCATAGCAGACTTTGTGATATCAGTAAATATTGTATCAATATCCAAAGAGTCGATATGATAATGTGTCATGATGAAGCTGGTGATTTACAGCTGAGTAATGAACGACAGGCTCAGATATCAAACTCTCGCTCATGTGAACAGACGTGTTCTTTAGATGAAGTTAAAAACCTACAGACTGAACCTTTAATTGTCGCTCTGTGCTGATGCACTGAGCTCACACTGTAAATTCTCTCTCCATCTTTCCGCCTCTTGCTGTGTGTGTGTGTGTGTGTGTGTGTGTGTGTGTGTGTGTGTGTGTGTGTGTGTGTGTGTAAATATCATGTTAATCTCCGGGGACTTCCCCACCGAGGGAGATGATGAGGTGCCAAATGGCTTTGACCTGCAGTAACCTTTAAACACCGCGGTGTGTATGAGCTCATCCGGGCCAGATGTTTCCCTGCAGACACTGGGAGACCAGCTGTCTCTATGGCAACCAGGTGAGCCAGGTGTCCTTAAAGGGACACTCCCCTCATATCAGGCAGAGCTCTGCACTCAACACTGATCCCGTCTCTCGTGTGTGTTGTTGGACATCGTGTGTGCTTTCTGTCTTCAGACGTTGTTAAAATCCCTGTGAGATAAAAGAGTTCTTTGCTCAGCAGCTATAAGGTGTGTTGGAAGAGGGAAGAACTTCTGTGCAAATCATTTTGATTAAACCTGTTTTAAGGCCTCTTCAAACTGCCCTGACACCCAAATGAGCACCTTCCTTTTTAAGAAGTATAAGAAAGTCAGGTAATGACGTGCTGTTCGGGCCGTTCTCACAAATTTTTCGTATGTTTTCCTACGAAAAGTAATGCACCAAACTTTGTACGTGTCCTGCATATTTTGAAAGGTTTGACCAATGAGCTGACGGCAGTAAACAGGAGTGGTCCCGTGTGCTTGTAAGGAGGCAGGTTGGGGCGGTGGATGGGTCACAAAAAAACTTTCACCTGGGGCTTTGTCTTGGAGTCACGTGTTCAGATCTGTGTGAACTTTAAATGATTTTAAGGTGCGTCCTCACCATGTTTCTTTTCCTAAACCTAATCTCTGTAACTTTATGTTAATTACGTAAGGACGTAACATCAATCGCGGGGCGTAAAGTCATAGGACGTAATAATGGAGGGAACTGGAACCGGAGCCGGAGCGAACTCTGGCACAAACTGGACCATTCGTAAATTCAGAGCACTGTTGAAATGTACCATTCTGTTATCCAGGTAGCTGGTCCACTGTTCCCACAATCACCACCTTGCGTTTGGTCGAAATAAACTCTTCATTCACTGAGTTAGACGCAGAGAGCGTTAGATTTGAATTGATCAGCTGTAATAATGTTACTTTTTCCAGTAACCAGTAATGTAACTGATTACTAATGAAGTGTCAGAAATAATTTTACAGTTACTCCAAAACCAAACAAAATCGTCGCACTGTGCAGGCACGTCATGAAGCGGCAGCTAGTTGGAAACGTTTATCTCAGCAGCAGGAAATATTCCTGTTACTTGATTCTGTCTGGAGGAACGACGACAGGAACTCTGCTGCTGCAGGTAGTCGCACTAAAACTCTTCCCACTGTGAAAAACACGTCCTCAAACCTTCGGTCTGAAACAGCTCTACGACCCACAGCACAACACTGAGAAGCTCCAGGAAATACACCCCTCCAAAGGTGAGCCCTCCTCGGCTGCAGAGGTCGGCTGTAGCTCTACACTGGCTAAACAAGCCAAACTGGTGGACAGCTGCAGACACAGAGAGGTGATGAAGCTTGTGGCTGGATATGTGGTGGATGAAATGTTGCTCCATGAGTGACTCTCCGTCTGTCAGACAGATCTCTGGGAAAATAACGCTCACAGGTAACTGAAGACCTCCAGGTAAAGGGGAGCCATCTATCCTCAGCTACACTCAGCAGTGATCACCCTGACATCCACACAGAGACACACACGTCACATTTTTAGGGTAACGAGCCCAACACTGGCTGTGATTGGTTAAAAGTTTCTCCAATCATCTGCAGACTTCATTCTGCGCCTGAGATTCTTTGAACTCATGAAAACACAGTGAGTGAGTTGAAGTTGGCGACTTTGGTCAAACACATTCACGACACAAGAGTCTGTTAAAACGTCAGCGTTCATCCGACGCCACCGCCGTTATTCTGAACGGAAAAATTCATCCTGTAAAAATGTGTTTTTAATATTTAATAAAGTCATTCCTTACCTCATCTGTGACCTGATTGGCTCTCCTCTGCAGCTCCTGCTGCTCCGTCAAGATGGGCGGGTCTGATGCCATGTCGGCCGCCTGTGAGTGTGTGTGTGTGTGTTCAGTCCCAGGTGTCCAGATTAGACTGCAGCATCAGGTGGTTTTGGCACCTGGAGAGCAGAGTGACACCACGATTATTTCTAATGACTGACAACAGAGTGAGCAGAGAGACGAGCTTTTCACCTCACAGACATCAAGAATGGATTCTAGATCTAAAATTCAGCTCTGATGAGTCAAAATGAAATTATTGATATGTCAGTTTGAATGTCATTTCAGATATGTAGAATTCTGCTGATGATCCCTGAGATACAGTTTGGACCAGTGACAAATGTGTAAATTCCTTTGCAACTCGTCAGAACTGAATTTTAGTGAACAAATAAAGGAGAAATTGTTTTGCAGATATCTTAAATTTCCACTGCTGAAAACTGCTGATCCAATAATAAAGGCTCTGAAGGAACACGGTTTAATGTCTTTAAAGATATTTTTTGGGGGGCATTTTTTTTAAGCCTTTAATGGATAAGAGGAAGTGTGAAAGGGAGAGAGAGGGGGAGTGACATGCAGCAGGGGGCCACAGGCTGGAGTCAAACTCGAGCCGCTGTGGCAACAGCCTTGTACATGGGGCGCCCGCTTTACCACTAAGCCACTGACGCCCCCACAGTTTAAAGTCTAATGAGCGTGTGGTGGAGCCACAGAGTAATGTCAGTGACAGTCAGCTCCCAGGAGCCAGTTCCTCTGACAACCAACCAGTTGACACCAGGCACACCAGTTCATTACAGAGCTGGTAGCCAGTAAAATATGTCAACAGGTCATCTTATCGATCGCTTACTGGACTCAGCTCAGCTCAGTGACTGCACCTGTTAGCTGACACACACGTCTGTTTGCAACCCAGGTCATTACTGGTGTTTATCATGTTTATGTTGGATTTGCACTTTGTCGTCATTCTAAGGCCCAATCCCAATACCCCCCACTGCCCACTACCCCTTAGCCCTCGAAATGAAGCAACGAGGGGTAGGGGTAGAATTCTTTCCCTAGGAATTGGGACACCACTCACTACGTCACCGCGTCGGTTACGTTCACGCATATGTAACTATTTTAAACAGGAAGCTGCGAGCCATCTACATTTTCAACAGGCATCTACATTGGAGTCTCTTGTTGAGTTCATCTTACCTATCTCTTTTGCTGTATTCATCATGCTTCTTTTGATGAACGACAGATGACAGGGGACTTCTGCTCGCTAGCTAACCAGCTAACATTACGAGGCAGCATAGTTATTCTAGCTGGCGTGTTATCCTAATGTTAAAAGTCCGACAATTTTGCAGAACAGGACAGATGACAGACGCCAGATAGTGCGAGCTAGCTAGCTAGCTAACAAGCAACCTGACAACAGTAACGTTAGCTATGTATGAACTTTCTTCCCCGTCTCTTGCTCGGTGGTAGCCATGGCGACGTCTACCCCTCGCTGGCAAGTCAGCATCTGATATCCCTCGCTCTGAAGGGCTAGTTTCATACCCACTACCCCTCGTTATGCCCCCTACCCCTACACGCAAAAAGGAATTGGGACACCACTACCCCTCGTGGGAACGCACAAATGTAGGGGTAGGGCCAAGGGGGGGTGTTGGACGGGCCCTAAGACTCTTCTCTACATTGTACTCCAACTGCTGCTCAGCAGTTTCCCAGTTTCTCAGTGGTTGAATAAGGATCTCTCCACAATGGACGTAGCTACCGTGACATCACCCACTGGTTTGTAGACTCGTGTTTCTGCGTTTCAGCCATCGCTATCTCGGCTTTATGGAGCCAGAAGTGACCATATTTGGGCGAGAGGGTGGAGCTGTGGAGGAGCTGAAGACACTATCAGCAGACAGCCTGTCACTCAAAGAGGCCTTCCCTTAATTATTCGTATCTTTAAGGGAGCGATCACACTGAGATGAAACGCTAGAAACGATTGTTTTCCTATGATACGGCGCGTCTCACCGGCGTTGAAGCATCTTTTTAGACAGCCGTTTTTCCAGTGTCTTTTTAGACGTGCGTAGATGCTGAAACGTTTAAATATTTTCAACTTTTTGAGCGTCAGGCGCCAGTAGCTATCGCGCATTGAATAAGCACTTCCAGCGTTTCAAGTGTTTTTGAAGCGTCCGCGTCTCTAGCGACTCATTTCTGTGTGATCGCCCCCTAAGCCTTAATAAAATGCAAACAGGTGAGTTTTATAAATTCAGCCTCGCACAGTCGTCATGAATGTTGGAATTATCTACAGAGACCAAAACTGTTTTTGTACCAGACTGTAAACATGTTTACTTCTACATGTTAACATGGAGGTCTGTGGGGACTGACTCACTGTAGGAGCCAGCCTCTAGTGGACATTAGAGGAACTGCAGTATTATTGTTATTATTTCCCCCCTTTTTTAAGAATAATAATAAAAGCTTTTTATTGTTTGTTTTTATAATACTTTATTATCTTAAATGATATTTTCTGTCAGTTACAGTATGATGTGACTGAAGCACACTGAGTTCATGCTTCTCGTATGAAATGTGCTGTAAAGATAAAGTTGACTTGTTGCTTGTTACTGGACCCAAAGTTAAATGTCAACTGGTTAAAGGTGAAATGAATGAATGACTGTGAGCTGTGTTTCACAATTAAAGTCTGACTTCAAATATCCAGATGTTGTTAAGAATATTTCACTGGACCTGGTTCGATACGGAGTCTGTTTGAAGACAAGATATTCTGCATCAGTGAATTCCAGATTCACTAAGAACAAGCTGTTTGATTACAGATAAAGAGTTTTCAACATCTGCCTGACTGACGCACAGCTGGCTGCTGTCAAAACTCCCAAACCTAAACTGCACATAAGATGAATCTGTCCTCTCTAATCAGATGATCAGACACAATGTCTCTGTCCAGGTGTTGGTTGGTCCTCACAGTACCATAAAAACAGCCCCCTGCCTGACTGCAGCTCCTCCACACACACACACACACACACACTTTTCTTTTCAGACACTGTGTTATCATGCTGGAGCATCATAATTAGGCCTAACCACTAATCACCACCTGCTGGAATAAAGACGAGGAAGGAGGGGCAGCAGAGGAGCAGAGGAAAGACTCCACGCTGTTTGGAGCAAACTGGAATCACACTGAGGGGCCGTCACTAAATAATAATATGATTATATCTGCTGTAACCTGGAGAACTGCTCAGTGCTGAGCCCACCTCTCTTACCACATGGACCCAAAGACACTCAATGTACAGAGATACTAAGGTAAATTCTTACATCGTCAAACGTGTGGTGTTTTTCTGACATTAAATCACTCAGTGAGACAGTTGAGCTCAGCTTCTGCACCACAGGTATAGTTGTGTGTTTCCTGTGCTGCTGAAGTGACGCAGTATCTGATCTGACTCTGTCACCAGGAGGTGGAGGGGACGGAGGACGGCGTGACACCTAGAGACGCCAGACAGAATGACTATGTACAATATATTGATGTATTGTCAAGCAACATAATAGATTTCGACAACACCGTTCATGTTGATACAGGGTCAAGTTACAGAACGCCAGCGTCCATCTCACCTGTCGCACACTCTCCTCACAGCTCCGCCCACTCACTCAAGCTCAATGTTAACTTGTAATGTTACTCAATGCATGAGTTGATGACGTGAATCCATCAGCACACCTTAAATTTCACTGTGACTGGCTGTCCATCCAAATGTGTCACAAACTTTAAGCGAATTTTGTGAAAATGCAAATGTATGCGCGTTTCCATTCATTACTGTTTTGCGAGTATTGGGAGTCAACAGGTGGAGCAGTAGGTGGCGCTCCTCGTGAAAAATAAAAATAACAATGCAAAAGAACACCTGTAGAAGAAGAGGGCGCCGTGAGATGACGTCACTGAGAGCGTCTCATGTCCACAACTGATGTAAACAGCTACGTGCACATCATGACCACGGCTCACACAAGCTGTTCTGCTCAAAACTGAACCACTTTAAAAAAACCTGTTGTTCACGTTCATCATTAGAGAAACAAAAACAGGACCCAGGTTATAAACACACCACCGTTAACCTTTAAACCAGATTCAGCTCTCACCTTGTTCCTCACTGACGTCACGTGTCATCAGTCTCGGCCAATGAGACGACAGCTGTCTTTCACAAAGTTCATCCCTCAGACTGACCACTGACACCAGCCCAGCGTGGTGGCGCAGAGTCAACATCTCACAGCAGGGCGACCAATGAGCAGGCACACAGTAAACAATGAAGCCTTCCTGCCACCTGCTGCACATTATGACGTCACCTACACGCTCTGCTCCAGCCCCACCTCACACACACACACACACACACACACACACCCAATGCTGCATGTTTTACACTTTAACATCTGCACTGTGTGTGTGTGTGTGTGTGTGTGTGTGACCGTGCAGGAGGAACTCTGAGCAGCTGATATGTGATGATGAGTCAGGAGGTATTGATCTGTGATAAACAAGATCTCACGTGCAGCTTCTGGAGCATCATCTAGTGACGCTGCTCATTAAACTCATGTTCACTTTGCTTCTGTGTTAGTTCAGTCTGACTTTAGTTCTTGTTTCAGTCTTTAAACCAGAGTTTCACACTCAGCTGCTTCTTTTCCTTCTCACTTCACAACTAAAGACAAGAAGCTTTTCTATCAAATCAAGTGAGGTGAGACGCGCGCGGGCGGATGGAGTCTGATGACATCATGCTTTATGTGATAAGAATAAAAACTCCTCAGATGTTGATGAATAAAATCAAACCTACCTTTCACCAGCTCCTCTTCACTCTCTGAGTTAGTGTGCGGTCTGTCCGCATGTAACCCTCCGCACTGTGCGGCACTAACCTGTTGTTCTCCTGCTGGTGTCCCTCCTCAGCATCTCTGCCCTATATGCCCCGCCCCCTCACCCACACAGGCCCCGCCCCTCAACAAACAGCGTCGCCACAGTGAAGTTATAAAGACATCAGATATTATGTCATACGTCATACATGTGTCTGCTCAGCTCATGGTCCAATGATGCAGCCTGATGAAGCTGAGGGTGAAGTTCAGGTTAGAGGAAGTGATTCAGATCTCTTATCATCACACACACACACACACACACACACACACACACACACACAGATACACACTGTGAGCTGCTCCTTTACAGGGGAACAATCAAATCTGATGGAAATATATGAAAATAAATACGTTTTATTGATCAAGGTCTGATTTACACCAACAGTCATCTGTCACTGTGTGTCTGTGTTAATAAATATAATAAGTTGTTGACTTTTATATTTGATTATTTTTCATTCTGTCTTGATCCTCACTATTATTATCTTACTATATAATGACTCTGTGTGTGTGTGTGTGTCTGTTCCAGGTTTTTCTCCTCACTGACTTGGTCAATCCATGTGAAATTTGGCACAGTGGTAGAGGGTCATGGGAGGATGCCAATGAAGCAATATTACATCAATTGGCCAAAGGGGGGCGCTATAGCAACCCATTGAAATGTCAAACTTTGAATGGGCATATCTCATGCCCCGTATGTGGTAGAGACATGAAACTTTGCACAGAGATGCCTCTCCTCATGAGGAACACATTTGCCTCAAGAACCCATAACTTCC